TCCCTGCTAATCAAGTACTCCACTCCACAGCACGTGTTAATAAAGCTGTCATCTCTTTAATTATAGCCCTGATTTTTAAGCAGCTGGTTTATATACTCTTTGAAAATGTCTTCCCTCATCTCACAATAGTTCATGGATGATGCAATACATTAATTTGTACACTTTTCTTTTAAGCTTGAAGTATAAAAAATAAAATAATAATACCCTCCCTTGTCTTGCAAAATAAATCACATCAACTGTCTTTCATTAATAGCACTTCCCTCTTATGCCTTTCCAAAGCCATTTGACCTTTTGTGTGTTCATTTAATTTCATTTCTTAATTTGTTCTGTCAGACACGAGGAGTACTGAGACCAGCAACATGTATGGCACTACAAGGATATCAGAAAGGAGTAAAAGAAGACAAGACACGGTGGACTGGACTGTATACTCACAAGCGACGATGTCCATGTCGCCTGAGTCTGTAGTGCAATTAATTTGATTGGCTAAGCTGGGAATGCTTTGAATAGGTAATCAGAATGTGCAGTTTCTATTCACCTTGTGCTACAGTGATTGGGAATGTTGTAGGATTAGCTTAAAAATCTCCAATGGTGTCTCGTCGTGTCATTTAATCAGGTAGCTTTACACAGGCTATTTAGCTTAGGCAACTTATTTCGCAACATTTTAAAGAACCTGCATTATACTTTCTTCATTTCCTCATTTATTCACATTTTTATTCTGGTGATCTACTATTTCTCCTTCATACAGTACTTTGCTTTATGATGTCTTCACAGTGTCTGTTTATCATTGATGTGAGAGGTTTGAGGTTATCAGTCATATTTAGGAATTTTCAAGTTGGAGGGGAGATTATTGAGTGAGCCGTAAGCAAGTTGCTGCAACCAAAAAAGAAAATGACGAATGGTCCCAGGAAACGCTACAGGGAAGATCAGTTAACTGTGGTCTGCTCAGAAAATAGAGGAGGGAGAGGCCATGGAGAGACACTGTCTGTTCTCCTCCACAGCCAGATAACAAAACAGAGAGAAAAACCAAGAGCTACTTTTCAAGTACAGTGCAAGATTATTGAAGAGAGAGACACTTCTCTTCTTCCTAGCTGGACCTCCGAGACACAAATCAGCCATATCGGTTGGAGGCGGAGTGTGATGAAAAATCTCTTAGTGTGTCACCTACAAAGCACATTTGCAATACGCTACAATTTCAACAGAGCCATGGAGCAGAGAAAAGCACAATAGGTATGTATATACATAAATATGTAGGCTATATACAGTACATATACATACACATGTGCATGAATGTCCAGAACCTTCTGTCCACCTTAAAACAAATATCTTTCTTTGCAATGCAATCAAACACAAATCCAGTGGTCATGTTTTATAAAGATTACACAAAACTCTGCACTGAGCTTCTTTTGGAGCAGGAGCTATTTAGCAGAACCCCCTCAGGTAGGACGCCGTAATGTTTGTCATAATTTATGAGACTAATCTGTTCAGTAATGCTAGTTATTTGTCAAACTAGAGGAGTCGAGCCGAGTGTGTCGCAGCGCTCTGCTTTTTGTTTGCTGCTCAGACACATGTTGAGTTTCTTCTCTAGTGTTTTCTCCCACATGTTGATTTCTGCAAACAAGGCTCGTCCTGTCATGGAATATAGTAAGTCATTTCACAAATAAGAACTCGCAGCATCTGGCAAGTTAACGGCGAAACACTTGGCTTATCGTGTCATCCCTCATCTCTGCTTGTCCTGCTTTCCTTCAGCTCTCTTTCCTATAGCCTCCCCCCCTTTGTCACTACCACTGGCTGTGCTATGACATTACAGGGCCTATGGCACCTTTTAATATCCAAGTATAGTTTTGGAGGGGGTGGGTGTGGGTTAGTGTCACGGGGAGACAGCCCAGAGAGGGAATTCATTATTCAGACCCCTTTCGCTGTCTGCTCTCCAGCTACCATCTGATCTTGCCCATTCCATTTCTTAGCCTGTGGAATGGAGACCGTGCCTGTCCTGCAGATCCACTGTGACCCCATTACACCGTCACATATACAACCCACTGATGAAAGCCATTCCAAAAAAACAACAACTCACGTTAAAGTTTACCATGCACCCACATACTCATTCATACCAAGTACAAAACCAGCTGCTCTTTTCTTCAACAGTTTTCTTTGTCTGGGATGTCCAAATCAAAAAAGAGTGTGCACCACCCCTTCAGGACATGATCTTATATCATCCAGTCATAACCACATCTAAAATACAATAAAAACTAGACTAAAGCTCAAACACTTAAGTAAAAAGTTTATTTGACGGAGTTGCTGAATTTAGGACTTCTGAGCCAAGGGTACTGAAAAATGTGAAATATCAATAAAAATTGTACTTATTGATTTGTGCCCTCACACAGAATCTTTGCTTTTTGTGCTACTGAACATGGAAATCCACAGAGTGGAATAGTTGAGTTTGGCTTTCAGCAAATGAAGGGAATGAAGAATTGAACTATTCCCACCTGACAAGTATGAGTCAGAGAAAAAAAAAAACCAAGCCTTCAAGCAGCTTTACTTTGAATGTAATTCCTGCATTCTGTTTCCTTGTCGTCTCATTCGCTGCTTTGCCGTGGTATCACACATTACAAACAACTTGGTCAAGGCTGGAAAAACATGACTTGAATGAAATTTGACCCTGTAATAATGCATCACATCGACCAAACCTTTCATTCTGCATTACTCATGTGTCCCTCCAAACACACAAAAACACACTGTGGGCATGAGCCAATTGTCCTATTGAAATACAATCCAATATCCTTTAAAAGTGAGACTGGATAGCACAAAAATTGCAACGATTCTGACTCTGCTGGTGTTCCCAATTTTGTTAGACTGAGCTATATTTGATCACTTTTACAATGACTTTTTTTACCAATGCAAACACAATCTGAAAGTGAGTTGAATGCTTATTTGACAATACATTTATTCACAACTTGTTGTAAAGTTGGATGTTGGGATGTTGTGCAAATTCCTGAACTCGGGATTAGTAAAAAAAATAATAATTAAAAAGTATCTAAATAAGAAATCATATCTTAAAAACCGTTTGAACAGGAATCTCCTCCGCTTATATCATGTAACGAAGAGAAATAATAGTACAGAATAGCAGCTGTGAGCCAGCGTCATTGAATGTGGTTTATGTTTCATCACACCCAGAGTCAGGGCGTTGTTGGAGTGAGTGAATCTTCTTTTCCATGCATTCTAAATGTTTTATATCAAGAAACTTTTTACTTTGAAGCCAACATCTAATCCTTAATCATGACAACAAAGTGCCATGGGACATCAAACTTCTGCAAACTGGGTTTGCTTTATGGAGTAACTGAGTGGCACAAAAAATGCGTCGGCTCTGTCCTTTTTAGCATGAATAAGGGTAAAACAACGAGCTGGATATAGTTTGATAACCCTAAAAACGTAATAAGATGCTCTATTTTTAATGGTAAAATACTGACGGCAAAGTAAGGCATGGCATTTTTCTCCATTGTGGCTCCAGCACTTTGACTGCGTTTCTATTTGGCGTGTCCCACAGGGTGCACGGGGGGTTATGCGGAATACAAAATAGTACTGTTGCTTTTCAAGGCTTAATCTATGGAGCTGTCAGGATGAAAGAGTGCAGCAACTGGTCGGACTGGGCAGATGTGTGCAAGGCTCACATAGACACACACGTGTCGCATCTGCCTGTTATAACACGCTCAGCTGTGCGCTACCTGTGTGTGGGGAAGTCGCACAGGTGGTGGTGAGGAAGGGAGGGGCCACTAATCACTTTTCCTGCTCCCTTGGTCACGGTTCGAGGTGTGCAAGCCATATGAAGATGGATGCTGGCCAGACATACAGTATGGTGGTCTTGCTGAAATATTCATCCAGCACGCTTCCCCTTAGAAAGAGCAAAAAGGTGAAATATTACACAGTTTGTGCTAGAAGCTAACACTGCCCCAGTGGGACCACGATCAGTTATTTGAGATTGTATAGCACTACAAAATCTGTTGCTAGAAATAAACCATCCAACTGCATCTCCATGCATTGTTATGAACCCACAAACAAATCCTGTAGAATCAACTTGCATAGACATTTCTTGTAGTATCAAATTGCTATTGTCTTATAAAGTCAGTCGTCTATTTTGAATCCAGTTACACTTCAAGGGGTGCATAAAGGGGGTTCAGTTGTTCATGAATAAGAGCTATCCTTTTTTTTCACAGCAGTTGCCATATTTGGATTCAACAGTTATGTACTAATGAAGAGGAGGGAGTCGAATCATCTCACAAGAACACCAGTCTTTGTTCCACCATTGTTTGAAAGAGTTCATTCATAATGTTGATCATTTGGTCGTGTCCAAAATTTAGATTTTAAGAAAAGAGGAAGCTATGATATGAATTTATGCTGAACGATTGTAAATTGCATGCGCACTTTATCTGAAGTGTTACAAAGACTCCCCAATATCGAGGACTTTGGACCCAAAACGCTGAGGTGTGAGACACAAGCGGGTAAAAAGGAAAAGGAGCTTTATTTAAAAAGGGACACAAGAATCTATGCAACAGGATGTATAAAGACCAAAGTAGATAGCAATTCCCTATATATGCTTATGTATGTCTGTCAATCTACAGCTGTTTTAACCCCCATACAAATGTATTTACATATTTAGAATCTGGGTCAATTTGAATGTCTAAGAAATAAATATACGTGCTGCTGTTAATGTCTGTGTGTGTTCCTTTAGTTTAGCAGCCTGTCACAGGGATTAAACCAGACGCTCTCCCCCATATCAAAAACATCACTGTCAGTGTCACCAGCTTTGTCCAATCAGCCTCCCACATCCACCACACATGACTCACCTCGCCACACTTCCAGTCTGAAGGCATTTTGATTTATTTTCCTTTCAAAAAGAAATCACCTACAACCCTCTGTGAGCGCAAGAGGCACAGACACAGTTTTGAACATTGTACAAAAAAATGTTTTTTGATCTTTATATTCCTGCTTTCTTTCTTTTTTTACAGCACAACACACACAAACAAATGTGCCGGGAACAAAGAATGGAGCCATAGGTCCAGGCATCCTTCAGAAATGTACTCAATGGTACGTGGGTGAGAGAGTTTCAGAGCAAGCCAAGACATGTTATAAGGTTTTTCTTTTTTTTCTTTTTTTTCTTTGTTTGTTTAATCTTATTTCATCCACAATGCATTCGGGATTGTAGACAAAGTTTCATATCCGTATCTTTGTTAGGAGTCGATAGTGCAAAAATACATTTTCCAGTACATCTCTCCAACTGTTTTATTGTGACATGATCCAGGATATGCTCCACGCAAAGACCTCTGCCACCCAATTGGGCAATTGTATCCTCACTATTTGACATCTTGAAACTTTGTGGAGTTTAAAGAAAAGTGCTTTCAAGAAAAGTGGCAGCAGTCCAGTTCATGATTGTAACTTAAGCACAAGAAACCTGGCTGATCGAAAATATCCCTGCATGTTTTACATTCTGTACTGCATGGAGTCTTGCAAGAAACTGCTTGATGTTTCCTTTGTAAAGCAGGTAAAGTTTATTAAATTAAATTACAATCAGTAACTATGGTGACAAGATTCTTCGCTCAGATGACTTTGGAAATTACTTCTGAAAATTGCTGGGAAGTTTATGAAATTAGAACAACAAAAACATGATTAATTTCCCAGCATCTTCATTACAACTAATTGCTAATCACTAAACTATGGCATATTTCTGAAATGAAGTCAGTTACTGAAGAATGTATATCTTATAATTGATATTATAATTCTATTAAAGAAAAGATTAAAGGGTAAATGAATCACACCCCTGAATGGTCAGCAAGAATATAAGTGTATGGTACATGCATGCTGATATTACTTCAGGGACAAAAACTAGCCTGTCAAAAGGGACTTTCTGTACCTGTAAATGAGGATCTGATGAAAAACCAGTGGGATCATTTTGAGCAGTGGTTTAACTATATAGATAACACATTATCAAAGCAATTTGTTAGACTGTCTAGACATTGTAACCCTTGATTTAATGTCCTGGAACACATTTTTTTCTCTTTCTGTTCTTGCCATGAAGTCCCCTTAAGGCTCATAAACCTATCTTGGTACAGATACTGTATTTTAAATCATCATTTAAACTGAGAATGAAATTTGGTATCTCAGAGAAGATGTCTCAAATAGTAGCATTTGTGCTTCTGTCTGGTCCCCACATGCACATTTTGGATGGGATTTTTCCAAAGACTATGGCTTTCACTAATTGTAAAGTACTTATATCAGAGACAGGCCTTTAAACCCCTCATTTTGCTCCATTACCTCAAAATGAACTCTAAAATGTTGAACCTTTACAATCATGCTAATATTCAAGTGAACTGGAAACCATGCAACTCCCATTGTGAGCTTCAGGTGATTTAAGAGTCAGATGTTTTTTGTTTGTTTTTTTACGGAAAGAGTTGAGGGAAAGGTACATAGATGAAAACAGTTTTTGTGGGTAAAAGACACGAATGCCTATGTGTTTCTCTCAAATGGGATCTGTATGCAACTCTCTGAAAGTGAATCCACCTTCACAGAAAAAAATGAAAAAGTCTAGTCCTCTCACTGTGAGCTGTTGTTCCCAGAGGGTTTCTCAGATCGCAGCTAGAACTGGATTTCAGGACACCTTCATTAGAAATGGATGTGATGCACTCAGTAAACACTGTATAAACAGGCTAAATTCAGTATCATTCAATATTCAGAACCCATCCTTCAGGTGATACTCTATTCAAAACTGTCTTTTAGCTGTGTCTACCTGGAAAATTGGATGGTCAGGAAATACTGGTTTCTGGAGGTAGTGGGTAACGCAACTTATTCAGCACCATCAATGTGAGAATTGAAAAAAAGCCTTAACATTCTGAATTATTGGAAAATGAAATTTAGATAAAGGTGATGAAACATCAATTAATTACTTTAATCCGATTACAAAATGCTATGTGATGTGACTAAGGCCAGTGTTTGGAATGCGTATTGTTGGTTTATGCAGGGGAAAGAAATTAAACACAGACCACATTGATATGTAAACAGTCTAAATAACCATTCAGCATCACCTTTTGAAAAATGCATGTCTTTCCACATAATGTGCTGCTCAGAGTGTAAAAATGTTATGCTTTGAGGAGTAAGCCAGTGCTGTAGGGAATAATAATTCCTGTGAAGAATTGCGTGGCAGAGCTAAGAATCAATCATAAGAACCTGAATTGTAAAGAAAATAAAAATGGGAGAGCAGCTCCTGTCTGTGGAGCCCCCTGCTGCTTGGTATGAGCGAGCATCAACGATGTCTGATGGCACCCATTTGCTCAGTGGAACTCCCGGTGTTCCCCACTGCTTCCACTTAGGAGATAAATTTGGCTCAGTAGATCAAAACACTCCAAATCTCTAAGGAGAAATTAGGCGAGCATGCAGTATATTACCAAGAAACTTAAGCTAAAACGCATATAAAAGCTTTTGGGATGAAGCATGCCACCTCAACAGTTTTGCTTCAGAGGTGTAGATCAGATTCATCATAAAATCAAATGACTGGTTAATGAGGTTTTGAAGGCAAGCAAGCTGCTATAAAACTGGTTTTCATTACATTTTTCCCTTCATAACACTCTAACAGATATATAGGGAGATCACCCTCTTCCTTTATTTACTTTTCCACAAAAAATCATAACCAACTCTTTTACTGGAATGAGTCTCCCTGCTTGCATGATGCCTGCATCTGGCATGAGAACCTTTGAAGCTAATAATAGCTGTTTACGGGCTTTGGTAAAAGTGAAAGTCAATTTGAAAAGTACAAATGTCTTCTTATAATGATAGTTGTGGACCCTTACCATTTACCACCAAAAACAGTCTGCCAGAGTTGTTGCGTGTTATGTCACTTTTGTGGATTGATTTTATTTTCCCTTTTTCTTGCAGGTCCTCACCTCATTCCCACTTCTGTTACCTTATCCCCAGGCACCTGTCCAACTGTTTGCAAGACAAAGAAAAAAACTTTGAAAAATAAGAGGAGCTGAATAATTATATCCCATGTGTATGTTTGCTCTCAAACACCATACTATTAATTTGCCTATAAACAAATCCAATGTCATTTAATCACTCTCTCTTTGGCCTTACAACTCAACCTTTTAATTAATTCCCAGAATTTGCCCCATGTTCCTTTATGCCACAGTAGCCCTCTGCACCATTAACTCATCTGCGGCACAACAGAAAAAGTGGCGTAATAAATTTAGGGGCCATGGTTTGACTACAGTGTATTGACCATGACAACTGAAGACATTACTCCTCATGTGTGATCATTCCTTCGAAAGCCTATACTGTGTCTTTCTCCATTTCTCAACTCAACACTCGCTCCTGCCATTATTTTAAACAATGTCTTTGCTGCTGTTGTTCAGTTTCTGTTGTTCAGTTTCTTGTGTACATCCTCTGGAGTTTTCCAGTCTCCACAGGTGGGAGACCCGTCTTAATGAGCAGCTCAGTCAACTTTTTGAAAAGGTGAAGCCTAAAATAATGAGCCCTTGCTGTGTCTTCTCCACATGAAAAGTTCCATGCTCAAACATTTAAGGATTTTTTTCACTGGTCATTCATTTATAGTATCACACCATATGATACTAGTTGTAACATTGATGTTCTGATAGAATGTTATGACATATGTATTAACATATTTATTTATTAGAATTACATTATTTGCTAAAAGTAACTTTTAAAACCATCGTAACATACTGCTGAGTTCCGTGTTGGTTCGAAATTAATCTGAAATTCTAGAACAAAAAGATGATGCTGACCTTCCTTCTATGGTTGACATGTTTTATGAACAATCGTGTCATGTCATATCATGTCATATCTTAAGTAGGTCTACAAATGGCCAAACTGGACAGCCTATTTTTGTTTTTAATTTGTTTTAGAAAGTTGGAGTTTTCACATCTAAGATGGGTTAGTTATAGCCTTAAGACATTTTGCATTCATTGGCCAGCTAAGAAGGGAGTTGGGAATAACAATTATGAAGCGCACCACTTTATTTTCTTGCTTAAGTTAAAAGGAATATAAGACGTAAAAGCTAGGATCAAGCAACAAATAGACAAATGAACACACGGAAATGAAAGTCATGGATATGAAATACAAACATCAGGTTTTCATTTCAAAAGGTGTCTAATATTTGAAGTGATGTCCTCTGACATTTTGTGCTGTAATAAATTACCTGCGGCACTATAGAATACCAGGTGCAAATGCTTTTCCAGGAGTCAATGAGTGAATCTAACATTGTGAAATAATTTGCAGGAATGTAGGTCACTCTCAAGTGGCTACTAAGCTTTTGTAGATGTCAGATGCATTCAGTTTGCATTTTAATGTCAGTGATTCACATGGAATTTGATTACTTGTACTGTTAACTTAATATGAGTTGCAGCATGAGCAGATAAAAGAAGCCTAAGCTTATCATAGGTTATGATAAAGTGTTTATTAGAGTAGTTTTCTGGTTGATTTTTTTATTCATAAAGCGAAGGTGATCAGATCAAGGTGCTATTAACATAGTTTTTAGTGTATGTTGTAGTGGGTTGCACATTAATCTACTTTCACATTTACTTTAAGGTATTGGAATTAGCTATAGGTATTATTTAATAGAATTAGACCAAATTTTGAACAAGAACTGTAGCTTTCTTTTTTTTTTAAATGGTATGGATGGATGGCTTATGTTTCATTATGTTGAATTAACAAATGCATTCATTTCTGTGAAGTGACTTTAATCATTTGAGTGCATTTTGTCATTTAGCCCACAACCTCAATCTCTGTAAACATTTCAGAGTAATTAGTTATGGAGCAGTTTTGTTGATGTGCATAAACTTTCAAAAAGCAAATGGGGCTTTGAAGACTGTGCAGCGTGTTCCAGTCAAAACTGTTATCTTGTATCTTTCTGGAACCAATAAAGCTAAAAGCTCACTCTCAATAGCTTGCAGCATTTTGTGTGATTTTCTGTAGATGCTGAAAGCCCTTAGAAAAAGAGCCATAAGACTTTTACAAGGTGGGAATAAGACTTCCGTTTTGGTCTTTTGCAGGACTAAAGACATGGAAAAGACCATTACAGAGCTGGTAAGCAAGGCATAAAAGGCTAAAGAGGAGAACAAAGCCTGAGTAAGAAAGATTAGCTAAACATATCGGCTATGATTTTTTACTCTTTAGATAATTGATGACATAACAGAATGTAAAGCAGATGATGGTGAGTATGCCAATAGAAAATAGGTGGTATAGATAATTCTTCATGCAAACTTGATTACGTGATCTGTTTAGGGCATTGGAAACCTGGAAGAAGAACATATTGTTATTTTGGTAATGAATTTCAACAATATGTATTTAGAGTGTCCAGCGCTTTAGCACAAGAAAAACATGTCAAAGGAAAGACAGATGGACGGATGTCTTTCAAGATATTGTATTTAGGATGTCATGGTACTTTGATGAATAATATTTTGTACGGCAGCATTTTCGATTTGTTGTTATTGGTTCTATACCCCACCTCTTACCTAGTGACAGCTGGGACAGGCTCCTGCCCCCTTCGACCCTGAATCGGAATAAGTGGGGACGGGTGATCTATTGGAACTGTCAGGTAAACTGAAGTGATAATTCTCCCCCAAGCCTGACCCTGATGTCTATAATCCATATGACTTGATAAATAAATAAAAAATTGTAAAATACACCAGAGTTATGTTACGCTGCGGATTAAAAGATGACCAACACAGTTTGTTATTTTCTGTTTGAACATCCACTTGCTCTCCACGTGATGATGGCAAGTACAAATAATTAAGAATAGGCTATATTGTTAGATAATGCAGTAAATATATATAACATTTTTGGGGATATTCATATCTTTTAATTCAACTAATAATGATAATTTATTTATTGGTATATGCTAAAAATTAGAATGGTCACATTGTCCATTGCTATTTGCAAGGTATGGTTGTTTGGTATGGTTTGTTTGCCATGTAAATGGGTAATACCTTGTTCCTATTTGTCCGCTCAAAATATGATTTCTCATTTCACACATTTTAGGACACATTTTCCTGCATTCTGTGTTTTTCACAGATACCAAAAATGCTGATCAGTGTCAAACAAACAACAAAACATCAAGCCTGGCTCTTTTAGTGGCTGCATTCTGTTTTACTGCTCCTCTCAAACAGACTTGTGATGATCTCTCATGCTGAATTGATTACAACAGCTGCTTGATTCCTGGTCATCCATCTGCTCCGCCCTCCAAATTGTAACCCCTCCAAGAAATGTCGGCTGGTTATTTTCACATCCACATTCCCCTCGGTGCCGCTGCCATCAACAGCCTTATTCAATTCCCTGGAAGCACATGAAATCAAATTCGCACACTTTTCCTAGCTTTGGTCCCGCTGACTTTAAGTGTGGGACAAATGATGTCTTTTGGAGGACAATCCAATCACAATTACCAGCTGCAATGTAACTGCAAGAGTGTGGCTGACGCTCAAAATACTTTTTTTGGAATTTTAAATAGTTGTTTATTTGGCTATTACAAATAATATGGAGCTCATTTGATGTCTTCAGTTTACTTTCTCTGGGTAAAGCTGACAGACAATAAAAAAGAAGGAACACACAGCCAAAGCAAAGATTTGTAAATCAAACTGTGTAAACACTGCTTGGGAAATGAGTTTTTAGTTCTTCGGTGTATTCCTGTGTTGTAGTTGCAGGTTACTTAAAATCCATTGTTCTTTACTTTTTCTTTACTCTGTAATAGAGAGTCATGTTTTCATGTAATAGGATTTTGGATAGTTATCATCAACCATTCCTCTTGTATTCAGGCTGATCTTTCAACAGTGGGTATAAACAACCTCCTGTGAGCTTCCTGTTAGGTAATAACCTCAAAATATGTTTGCCCGAAAGCCATCTTCATATTTTCCAGTAATGGGACTGGCCTTAGGCTGACTGCTTTACACAACTGCAAACCCGGGGTTGACAAAATACAAGAGATTTTGAAAAACACCAATGCATATTTCATTCTACAGTGCATTATATCCAAGAAGCTTTCACCCTCTCTGAACAATTCCAGCTAAAGTCGCAAATGTTCTTATCTTATTCTTTTTCTTGTGTGTGGAAATAGTTTAATGCATTGTTTTTGTTGTTTATGTGTGAGGTAGTCATGTAAATAGCTGTTTTCTGACACCGGGTGACAGCCTCCCACTGTACCGCACTAAAGTAACACCTGTAGCACCTCTACAGATATTCTACAGACATCCAGCTTTATATGCTACTGAAAGCTTAGTGAAACAGAACTGTTGCACATTTACAATTGCCAGTATGTGTTTTTACAGCCAGTAAGCACAAGTAACAGGACTGTAAAAGTGACAAAAATCCTCATCAATAACTGTCTCTTGGGCACATTTGTTAGGCAGCTCAATCTTATAAGTGGAACTGTGAAAATGATGACATCCAATAATCTATTTATATGAATAAAACTGTGAGTCAAGTCTAACTCAAATTGAAAAGAGAACTGAAAAGTCAGAGTTAAGATTTTATAAAAGGTTATTTCCAACAGTTCATTTTGTGTTTAAGAGCCATCCTTAAATCTATATGATTTTACTAAAACAAAGATGTGATGTCATTAAAAAGAGAATAAGATAGTTCATGCAGACCTCTTTACTGGATCTTCTTCTGCCATAATTTCAACGATGACGTGCTTCATGCTACAGACTCTGCGTCATTTTGTCTTTATCTGGGTAGACAGCGTGCTGTCAGAAGGGACACAGTCCCTGTTTATGTCAACTGTGTTCTGCTGTGATGGAAAACAACATCACTACAACTAAAAGCCAATTCCTTCTGGTGTTATTGTGCCAGAACTGCATCTGCTAGACTTTGTAAATGGCCACCGTTTTGCCTTAGATTTGTCTGGAGCAACAGTCAGAATAGACAAGAGAAAGTTTTAAAGAGCTGCGGACGAATGTTTGGATTTTGAGTTGCAATGTTTTTGTTTAGTTTTTTGGCTATAATGTTTTAAATTAGATAATTTGAATAACATGATTATCTAATTAAATCATTCACAATTTTTATTAAAGTAATTTATTTTGCTGTAGACACTTGCTAAACAGTTGCCCCTCAAAAAAGTTAATTACTCAATTGCCTATTGACCACCACTGGCTGCCCTTGGTTGCTCAAATCAAGTCTATAATTCTTACCTGAGTGACTTTTGGTTTTTCACCCAGCTGCCTACAATATTTAAGGTTTATCTCAGGACTGGACTGGAGCTTTACTGCCACTTTGAATGAATACAGCATTGGTTGATACTTGCTTATAAATGTGCTGTATCTGCGAACTATGACAATCCCACAAAAAAGAACATATTGCCTTTCCCATACTCTGATTTAGTCAGAAAAAAGGGCAACTTAACATTTATGCCATGGTTTAACTCAGCTGGGAGGATGCCTGAACCTAAGCCAGTGGTTAATCTTGTTACCACAGTAAGCTACAACACAGTATGTGTGAGGAGGAAGTGGGCGTAAGACTCTCTCTAAGAGCAAAGTCTGTATCATCTGTAGTTACACACAACAGTAACACTAAGCATAGTCCAGTCTGCTTCATTTTTCCCGGGGCCAAAACTCCTTGGAGAGTGAAAAAAAACGGGATTTAGCTATGACTGAGCAGCATAGTGACAGCTCCACCTCCAACAGCCCATTTTAAACTCAATTACCACACATCTGCACTCCTGCCACCAGCCTTAGCAATCCCAAGAAACACTGTGGCAGTGGGCCAAAGGAGAAAAAAAAAAGGAAGTTTTATCTTTTGCTGCTCAAGTAGCAGAACACCTAAGGGTTTGAGTCTGAGCACAGGGACTGAGACTGCAAATGAGGTCTGTCACATCAGCATTTGCAGCTTTGCATAGCCATAAAATGTCCCAAATCCAGGGAGAATGGGAAATATGCAAGCTTGATTTGAGAGGCTGAAAGGGGAGATCTAGAATAGGGATGAAAACATGTACCCAGCAGGGCGTTGCAGACTCATAACATTCTCTCATCAGGCAAGATGGAGAATCAGAGGTGGAGTATTGTGTAAAATGGCAATGCTGACTTATTTTACTGAAATATCCGGCCTCTCTATAGGCATGCAGAGAGAACATACTGTATATGCATCACCGAGACTGGCAAATCCATAGCCTGGGGCAGAAATAAAGAAGCCAGGTTGTAAAACTAATTTAGGCCTTTATGGCATGGAAGAATGCATTCATAAAAATCTCTCTCATCCTGCTGACACAGAATGGCACCTTTAGAATCCCCTGAAATAATTGTATTGTTTTTCTATGTCAATATTCCTCCATTAATTCAATCAACAAGTGTTTTCACTGTGATGGGAGTGTATTACCTCCCATGAAAGTTGGTACTTTATGAAGCCAGCAACAGTGTTGTTTAATTACCTGCTCTCGTTCAGCCCCATTGATTTACATTCTGAGCCCTTTAATTATACAATTCATCACCTTTTAAACATGAAAAATGGTGTAAATGCACGCTAATTAAACCTTGTCAAAAGGTTTTTAACAAGGGCTCAGTAAATCAAGCAAGTGGTGGTGTGAATTATGTGCTTTAATGTTGATTCTGTGCCTTTTTGTGTCTCTGCATTGCCATCAGTTTAAGCTAAATCCTGATGGAGCATCTGTGTCTTTGGAAGCAGGTGTCGGTATTAATTTTAAAGTCTTCCTTGCTTTGGAGTCTGAGCACTTTGTTTTTGTTTGCTGTCATAATTAGAGGAAGCTAAAGGGGAGAACTCGGCTCATTTTCCAAACACATCAATGGAGAAGGAGGATTGATGCAACAAAGAGCTCCGTTAATCTAAGTTAATAGATTCACACCCACTTTTTTTTCTTTCTATTTTCTTTTTTTGCTGCAGTCGTGTGTGGAATTTGAGTGCAAAAATCTAAAGTATCGGCCACATTTTCTTAATCCTGGCACCCCTACTAACACGGTTGTTCACGGTATGTTTATAAACCATGAACATAAGAAATGCACGTGTGAGAGTGTAAAAGCTCGTTATCTCATCAAGTGTCTGCAAATTCTGTCCGCTCACGATGGAGAGATGCCCAAATGGATGTCCATCTGGATATTGATCGAAGGTTATCGCAGGAGTCACAATATTTGAAAGAGATTCTGATTTTTAAGAGGCAACTTTAAATTACAATCTAATTAATTAGATTAATTCTTTCAATTGCAAAAAACAAGACACTGTGTGCTTTATCTGAGAAATTAAGACTTTCGACCCCATGTCCCCTGTGGTATTTCATTAGAAATTCTAATGAATCTTCTACTGCATTGTTCAACATCACTAGATGAGATATAAAGGCTTAAAGAGTCTCATTCCAATGTATCAAACGCAAAAACAGAGGCTATCATGTTTGCCTTTTTAGCAATCAGAAGCAAATAAATGAAGTAGCTTCTTGCAAGGGCCTCGTGCAGTAAATGGTCAGGGTTGGTTAGCGCTGATTCTTTAAAGTAGTTTGCACTATTTGTCTTTGAAAATCCTCAGAATTGTGCTGATGACTGAGTTTTGTTGTTTATATTAAAGAAGTTAGCTAACATGGTTCCTTTTAGATATGAGGTTCCCTCTTAATAGGGAAACTACTAACAAGAACAGAGACTGACTGTCACATTTGCTTATGGTTAGCATGGTGAAGTTTTCTGTAAAAGTCGAAAATGGTAGAGACATTTTTTTATTTTTTATTACCAATTAGGGAAAATTGAGCTTGTGGTCCAGAGCTTCAATCTACAGGTGCTAAACACAGTTCAGCCACTGGCACCTTTTTTAGAGGCAGAGGTCAACAGTTCAGCTTAGTGTTCTTGTATGTGATGGGGGAAGAATTCACTTTCTGTGGGATCCATGAATATACAGTTTCATGTAGGTGCGTGTCTCACTGATGAGCCTCCACACAATGAATATCAACCAAGTTGAGTGATTTCACAAGGACACACACACAGCTAGAATTCAAAGTACAAAGACTTTAGTTAGGCAAGAAAACAGAGATCAGTTTCTATTTGTGCATATTATTTGATTAAATTCCTGTTTTGTGTTGTTTTTTTTGTGTGTGGGGGGGGGGCATTGCTTCAGAGTATGGTAATCAGTGAATTCATTTGGGTAACTCGTGGAATATTCACTGCTGGCTGAAAACTGGGGGCTTTTTCAAATGTCACCTTTTCAATATTCCGGGGATGTTGAGGCTTTTTAAATGGCAACGCATTAATGATCTGAGATTAAATGCTCAGTATCAAATGGAAGCTGCTCCAATTACAGTTTGTTCATTTTTATTGAGGTGTGGCCTTCACTATACGTCTATGACAAGCCACTTATAAGAGACACACACACACATGCACACACACACACACAGGGAGGTAGCTCATGCTTGCAGCTGGAAAAGTCCCCAAAGATGATATATGCCATTTTCAGCGAACCCTTTTACTGGAACAAAGACTTCTTTTGTGTCTTTTCGCTCTTGGTCCAACATCAGTGACCAAATTGAAATCCTCTCCTCTGTAGTGACCTGCAAATATCTGGGGATGTGAGATAGGAGCGCTCACCGCCTCGAACAATGCCACAGAGTTAGGCTCTGATTCATACTGAAAACGGATTAATTTCTCCACAAATTAACTGCTAATTCTTCTCTTATCTTTGCCCCAGACTCTCATTGAGTCAGTTTGCCTCTCTCTCCTCTCTGTTCTGTCTCGCTCATGACTCCGACTTTGTTGAGCATGAGTGTGAGCTATGACTGACACCGTAGTGCGATAGCCTTTCCCACCAGTGTGCTCCATAGAGATCCCAGACATGTCCCATATGTCCTCATTTCTTTTTCCGCAAGCTAATTTGCCCCCTCTGCAGCTTATGTATTTAACAACAGTGACCAATTCAATTAGATATGTGAAGTGCCTGTAACACACCCACAACTGGTACCATAAAAGGAATTACAGAATAGCATATACAATAATAGTGATTTACCACTTATGTATTAGAGGCTGACCTTTGTTTTGTGTGTCACATATTTGTCCCATCTAGTAGGAATTCCTACTTGTGTATGGTGGCATTTCTTTAGTTTGAGAAATGCAAGGAGGTTCAATTTATTCATTAGGAACGTTTCACGGTGAATAAAACTACAACCTGTCATCACAAAGTGAAATAATATGATGGTATAGAACGTAAACTCCATATAGGAAAAACAGTTTTCACAGAAAAGGAGAAAGACAGCAATAAGTCAAGGCCAAAAATGCACAGGAAGCAGCAGGATATACCTATACGCTGTATACATAAGATTATATTTGCATGACGTTTGTTGCTTCAGACCACAGACAGCTTCCAGAGATACGGCTATAATAAGGGGACACAGTGCACCGCTTGGCAGGATAACAGTTCAATCATCAGATTAGCAGCACCTAGCTCATAGATGAGGATGTGCTGCCATGTCTGCCATTTAGCAAACTTTTAAAAAGGACACCAAGAAAGGACATGAATTCATTCAAACACACCTCATCATTTATTCATGAAAAGCCAGCAAGAAATTCAAAGGTTTCTTTCTTTCCTTTAAAGCGGCCTTACAGAGAATGGTATATCTCTTGCGAAGTGATCATGTTTTATCTACCTTCTGCTCCTCATTTCTCATTAATGAGCCATGAGCATACGGAGATGTCTGCATGCAAAGGGTCTCGCAAAAGAATCAATATGCATATTCACCCACACAAATAGGAAACATGTTATAGCGCATGAGCCCTCTGTCAGCCACCAGCTTCAGTATCCACACACACAGTGATCCAAACTGATAAACCTTCAGGTTACCAGGCCCATCGTTCAATTTTCTGAGAAAAATATCCGCCTTTCTCACAGGAAGGCTCCACCGGGAGTTTGGTGAATCTATGAATTGTGTGGCATGACTCAAGTAAAATCTCCATTGAAGTCAAGTGATGTATGCTGAGATTGACAGTGGCATTTAACTCCACTTGGTAGCCTCTCACCCTTTCATACCTTTATTAATAAGCCACACTTATTATTCGCTCAAACTCCTTTAATATTGAGATAATGTGTCACATCAAGTTTTTTTAGGAGTCATTTTTCATAATCATTTCGATAACCCTCCATGAAAGGGGTGGCAGGGTGCACTGAGAGCGAGGGTCTGCGAGGTAGAAGTCAGGGACAGCTGTAGAACTCTATAAATGAGTATGCTAATGCTGACTGACATTTCCTTCAACAGCAATGAAGGAGAAAATGCTTGTTCCCTATTATATGGACTGTCGGTGTAAAATAGAAGTGCATATCAACTTCATGATTAATTTCAAAACTGAAGTTTGTCGTAAAACAATGAGTAGACTATGAACTTTTTACAAAGATGCAATTTGCTGCACACTGGATTTTATAAAGCCTGACAGAGACGCATGAAAGCAGATGTGAAAGTTTCCGTCTTTCAAAAAAACACTTTTAAACACTTGAATTTTCCCTTTTACAAAAAATATATGTTTGTGGACCTTGTACAAAGATAGTATCCGTCAAATCAGTTCAGAACAGAAAAGGTAAGAAGGCTGATTAGTGTCTTATGGGATACCTGTATCAGTAAATAGGAAAAAGAAAGTTTGTTTTGCGGTGTATGACCTAGAGTTACCGTTCAGAGCATGCTCCTCTGTGGTTTCTCTGCTTATAGTTGACAGCGCTGTTCTCTTTAAATTCCTCCCATTCATATCTGGATTGTATGGTCTAATCAATGTAAAACCTTGTATTACTCTTATACTGATATACACTTTTTTTCAATAGCTAAAGTTAACAGACTCCCTTTCATTTGGCATTGAGGCACCATCCTCCAAAGAGAACACAGTGCTGTCCATTCTATTACAACTGCTAAAGAGCACTTCAGAGCAAATGAGATAATCCCATTCAGTAACTCTTTCTATACATGAAATTAACAACACCAACACTGAAACTACTTCTTACTCTGACAGCCACAACAGGTGTTTGAATTGTTGAGCATGAAAAGGGGGAAAAAAATCTTTGGTTATATGGATTATCAGGAAACTTGCTAATGTTGTTATTGGCATTGAGTGTACCCGCTAAATAACTTCAATCTTAGTGCACCCATTATCCAACCATTATTCTGAGTGATGTTGCTGATAATTTGATCGGCTTGTCCATTGCTGAATGTAGGAATTTAAGGAGTTAGATGGATATTTGCAATAGACAGACGCGTCTCTCTCTCAACACAGGTGTGAAGACACAGATCTCTAAATAATTCTTTTTTTTTAATAATTCTTTGATAAATTAAACTCACAGCAACATGGGACAAGTAGATGACGATATATTTTAGGGGACTAAACTTACTTGTGACTTTACAAAACATTAGTTTGCTGCTCCGCTGACTGTGTGATCTACACACCATGATTAGCAGCATACAGAAGAGTAAATTGAGATGACATAATAAGAGATGACACATGCTTAGATGGGTCCACTTGTGATTAGATCATATAGGGTATGTTTTAAAATCAAATGGTAAATAGGAGCTAACAGAGTTTCTGCTGAACATCAGGAGCAGGCCTCCACGTTTAAAAGGAGCTGTCCAAAAGACATGGTGCTGGAATTCAGAATGTTACTTATCATCACCAGCTTTGCTGTGTCCACTTAAACCACACTTTACAATTTTCCTCATGTTAGCTAAATATAAACTTACACCTACTGATACAAGCAGATCCTGCTTTTCTGAAGTACTTTTTTTTATTGGTTAATTAATTTAACTGAGGAGATTTGCTTTATTGCAAAAAAGAAAAGGTCAAAACAGGTCACCTAGCTTTACTGCAACGATAACCATGCATTTCCTTCAACAATTTGGATTATTATCTTTTCTCTCTCTAATTATGCCATAAATTGTTCAGTCACAATGCGTGCATATTTATATCAAACAAAAGGAAGACCAAGCAATCCTAAATATTATCCCAATCAAATACATTCAGATATATTCAAAAATGTTATATTTAATTTACTTAGCATGAATAAGAAATTATTTTGTTGAGAGACAGCCATTTTGTCCTTACATGAGCATTTTCTTCCCCCCTTGACCCAATGATTAAAAAGCCCCTCACATGTTATTTCAGTTCGGCAGCAGACTATTCATCTGGTTGACAGAAGGTTGTGCATATTCCATACAAGCCAAGATATTATTCCTCATGTCATGCTTTTAGATTAGGGTCAGCAGAATTGATTTCTTCTGTGGAGGTTAGCAGGAGAAACAAGAAACAGAAACCGAGAGACCAAGGGAAAAGACGAAAGCACAACGGATACAATTTGTCACAGTCACAAATCTCGGGCGCTCGCACCAATACTGATATTCATATGCATGCATTTATGTATATAGTAGAGGCAAATGTGAAATGAGGTCATTATTCACTATATGGAGTGCAATTATTGGCCATTTTGCTGTTAAGATCCATATGAAATCAATCCATGAATATCAGATGGAGAAAGGGTAATGCAGGCAGAGCTGAGCACAAATGGTGGATGCACATTTTCCACTATTTCCTTTAGTTGAAATAAAATCTGATTAGATTGTTTCATCTTTTGATTTGAGAGAAAATTTGTGTAAAATGATTTCATGTACATGCCTGGCAACCATCCTTTCCTTCCCTCGATTTCCTGTAAGATTGCAAGTAAGGTACGATGTAGATGAGGAAGTCAAAGCAAAAATTGTCGTATAGTAGCTACTTCATTACTTTTTAAATTTTCGAAAAGACCGACATTTTAGAGTATGGACAAAGTGAAAAGATAACCCTGCACTCACTACACCAATTAGAAATAGTCACAAAAGATTTTGCCTTAAAATAGATTTCATGTTGGCTTTGAGCTTTTAGATTTCTAAAACCGGAGGGAAGGTAAGAGGGCTATAATGAGAGTCTGTTCTTTACCTGGAGGGAGGTCTATCAATCAGGGCAGACTGTACACCTGATTAAACCAGACAGGAAGAGTTGGTTCCTTGATGTGACAGGAAGCTGCAGCCTCTGGGTTTTGTTTCTCCCCGCCACCTTTGCTCTTGGACGTGTTAACAGATTAACATGCTCACCATGGAGAAGGTCATTGCATGATTAACTTTTTTGTCCCTTTTTTTTCTCCTAGGTGCGACTAAAAGAATAAAGCAGATGGAACAAACTACCAAATTTTACAGGATTATCCAACCATTAGAGGTTTTGTCGCCATTTCAGTGATTCACAGCGTGATTTTTTTTTTTACCCTCACATCAACAATAAGAAATAATGAGATAAAAAGGAATGTCTCTTTTGAAGGTTGTTTACTTTCTGTTTGTTTCTGACATCGTGACACTGCAGACGTGATTAGAAAGGACATGAAATTCAAAACTCAGTGAATTCCTCGGACAGCACATCTCAGTAGGCCAGATTCATTTTTATTTCAAGTCTGAAAATGAAAAATATATTACATTTGACTCTATTAAATTCAAAGCAGTAGAACTGTGTTTGGTTTAATTTATCTTGTGGCCGGTAATTAAGTTGAAGTTAAATCTGGCGGCTATAAATTTCATCCGAGTATGTAAAAAAGCTCTGTGGAGCTCTGGAAATTTTTCTAAAGGATACATTTTTCTACATTTTCAAAAAAATCTCTGTCTATTCTATAGAAGAGGAGGAAGGAGATGTCTAAAGCAGAGTGGGATGGGGCAGCGGAGAGGTTTTAGGGGAAAGACAAATGGGAATGAGGAATGGGCCGTCGAGCTCTGCGCTCAGCTAATGGATCATGTGCCTTTCCCTGGAGTGGTTGGCTTCGCCTTTTACTGACCATGGTGCTGCTGCACCGTAATTACCTGCAGTGAGGGGATAGCTATTGAGGGAAAGAGAGACTAGCGAAAAAGCACAGAGAGGGGAAGTAAGTAAGGACTGACAGGATGGAAAAACACTTGTCAAACTGATCTCACCTCCAGGATGTTCTGCAGAGCTTGAAACTGTGCTGATGTACAGTATATGTGCAAACTATTACATGAATAATGCCAAAACTGAGTCACGGGTCATGACCTGACTACATTAACAAATTGCTTTGGAGTCCCCAAATTATTATTTTTGTCTTTTTTTGTATTACCCTCTGACGCGTTCTGTATTTCAATGTTATGTCATGTCATCTCAAAATGCACCAGGTAGCTGTTTTAACCTTCAGAGTTGCACATTTCTTGCCACACGGAATGAAAATGTGTGGGAAAAATGCACCTTAAATTATAGGCGCCAGGTATGTGCCTCTTTCTCTGGCGTCCACATTTTGTGCATTTGGACACGAAACTCCTAAATGGAGTGAATTGATTAGTGCAACCATTGTGCATCAAACCACTGCAGCACCACAGTAAATACCACAACTCTGCCCTCCTTCCCTGAAAGATTGTTCAATTTCTTTATGTGGTGCGAATTCCATTTCAACTTAGATATGTTCTTCTTTTGTTTGACCGCCAAAGTAATTCCTTGTCACCTCGTGCTTTGTGGTTATTGTCTTCTTGACTCAAAAACACACATGCATTGGTAAACCTCCACCTTGTTTTGCTCTGCAGTTGTCCTACTCTCCTCCTCCCAAGCACTGACTAACCCAACTACGGACTTTCTCGCCTTCCACACATCAAGCTCCACTTACTGATAACTGGTTCATACAACCCACAGGGACAGCCGCCGCCAGACTGCTAAACACTCCCCATCTACTCCCCTTACCTTTCAGCCACAATTTGCTGTGAGTGGCCACCGAGTTCACCTTCCCTGTGACATTCATATTTCAATTTGCCAAATCGCAGGTAAAAAAGCTTGTTAAAAGATATTCTTGCCTGCTTTAGAGTCCTGCGTTTTGGTCCATTAGTTCTTTAGAACCTACTCATCTTTCTTCTTTTTTTGTCCTTCTTCTCGTCTGGCACACACACAAACATACACACATATATATATATATATATATGTTTGTATCTCCTTCACCTTGCTCTCGCTGCTCCCCAGTTTAATTATTTACTAAGTCTAAGTAATTTATTTAGTTTGTTTATGTAAGTTAGGTAATTTCCCATCTTTTGTTCTGCATTTAGATCTGCTAACCATATCCCTCTATTTGCTACATTCACATCATAGGATTGACCTGGTATATGACTAGAGTTATATTCCTATAACAGGTACATATTGTAAAAAAGCCAAACTTTCTGGGTTAGGATATATGGAGTAGCAAACTAGATTGTTCATCGGCTTTCAGGAAGGTCCTGGTGGATGTTTTAACCGAGCAGTCCTCATTCTTTCGCGTGACCTCTTCAACTCAAACACTGCACGTCAGCAGTGCCCACAGCAACTCATTCCTGGCCTTTGTTCCGAAATGTTTCCCTCCAGCAAACTGTAACTCGCTGCTAAAAGTGTACAATACTCTCGAGTTCCTTTAAAAAAAAAAAAATTAAAAACCTACATCACAATGACAGGTCATTTGATTTTTCCATGGAGGATTGAGATCGCAATGCTGGGAAATAAATTGTGAGTTAAGGAAATGAAAGAGCAGGGTAGAATAAAAGCGTCCATTCATGCTTCCTTCCACAGCACTTTCTTCTTCCCCCTCCAATGAGGGTGAAACGGCTCCTTGGTATTCATTGAGGAAGAAGAATGCCGGGACGGGCGGGCTCACCGTTGGCTCAGGGTTAGCGCAATTAAACAGCTGTCTCGTCGGATTATTGTGAAGGTTGCTCGGGCAAAATTAATAGCAACCAATTCTTTTGTGCTCCCTGATCTCGCCCATCTCTTCCCACACGGGGTCACGGCTTCCTGAGTGTCCTGGGGAGCGATATGAAGGGCAAGGCAGAAAGGGAGATGCAGTGGACCAGTGAGTCAGTGGAGTGAAAATTGTGTGGGGGAGGAACACATAAACACTGAAAAGTGAGCTTCTTAGGACCGAAGCATTTTGTCAAGACTCAAGATGTTTTTTCACTGTGCAATGTTACATTTTAAGTTTGTAAAGCAAAGTACAAACTAAAAGAAGAACTTATCCCATGGACACAATTGTGAGATATTGATTGTAGGTTTTAGGACAGTAGTAAGACTCTATTTTTACACTGTTAATGTTGATTTATCCAACAAAACCAGGTTACTTTTCTGTCTTTGTCAGGGTTCCTGTTTCTTTTTTCTCTTCCTCTTAAGCATTTTCAGACATTTAAAATGTGATGCAGCTTCACGTTTGTGTAGGAGAGGTGAAGCCGAAGGGGAAAAACACTGTCTGCCACTCCTACTTTTTCTTGTCTTTTAACTAAATCAATTTCAATTTTCCTTCCTTGCTTTCTATTTCAGATTAGAATAGGAATCAATTCAATTATCCATATCTGTATGATTTTCTCATCAGAGCTCAGAGATAGCACACATTTGGAGTTATATTCCCAGGACTACTTGATTGTGCTGGACAGTTTCCTTTTTGCCCAGACAGATATTGCCTTGAACTCTGAGTTGCAGAAGACGAAATGAATGAGGTTCAAGAAAGGTCAACAACGTAAATTATGATTATCTGTAGTCTTTGCAGGGTAACAGGGTCTGACATTTGAGGGATGAGCATTGTGCAACTTCTTGACGATTAATTTGCCTATTTTGATGGAAAGCCTGCATGAAGAAAGCCGAATCAATTTTTTATATGTTTTTCTGTGTTTTCTCTCACTTTTGATGTCTTTAGAGACTCATTATAGGCTCTGAATTTCGTTGCTCCCATTCTACTTTCACAGCCTTACTGAATTTTTTACAAGGGCAGCAGATATTCAGGTGGAACCACTATCTTTAAATCCATTGAGCATGCAATGTGCTGTATCTCTGGTTTATCTATTCATAATAGATGTAGCCAGACATAGAATGAGGGCCTGTATGCTGCTGCAGTGCTATAGTTTGAATGGCTTTTTCATGATGAATGTACATATACTTTTTTCATCATTTATTTACTTTAGAGAGATAGATTCACATATGTCTTTTCTAGTTTGAAACACTGGGGAATATTTTCAGAGTAATAACTGCTTGCATGAATTAGTCTTTAAAGTTATCCGTCCTCACACCCCAAAACAACTCACCCATGAGCATAAGTATTTGGTAAGAGCGCTTATTGCGAGAAGTTCAAGCCACTCTGTCAGTGTTTACACTCTTGAAGCTGAGGCAAAAAGCTATCGAGGGGGAAGAGGATTCGCGATGAAGGACTACAAGGGCCACTACTCGAGCGTTGTGGTCTGAGTATGGCCCCGTCACACACAACCACCAATACCAGTCTGTTTACTTCTTGAGATCAGTATCTAACAAGCCATGAAATTACATTTCCACTGTGTGAGGAGGGGGTCACCTCTTCAGTGCCTCACCTCAAGACAGCAAGCCAATATGGAGTCAAACTGTCATTTTAATTAGTGTCTACTGCCTCTTATTGAGTACCTAATTAAGTTGCACTTACTCATTGATCTACACCGTAGCGGATTTTAGAAGGTTAATAAATTGAGCAGTCAACACAGACATGGGATGGAACATTAAGAATGAGGAAATTATTTTTTAGGCAAAACTGGATTAGATATTCTTTAATTGTGCCAGTCTGTTCTGAGGACATTTCCAGGTAAGCATTAAACTCCATATTTTCGACAATTTCAACAGTGAGTATTTGATCTCGGCCAGCCGACTTCACAGATCAAACATGGACATAATCTGCTGAAACAAATCAGAGACAGTTGAGCTGTTGCTGTTGATATCTAAAGAAAAGGTTGAAGTGGATGAAACGTTGGTTTTCAGAAACAGTGATTGCAGTAAATGAGGTTGAGATGACGATGAGAAGAAAAAGGCATGTGGATTTTACACACTCTTAAATACACACACTCTTAAATATGCAGCTCAGTCTCCTGGCAAAACGGATTTGGGTGCAGCTC